CTGAGAGTCCTGGAGGAAGGCAGGGAGAAAACCAAATACCTGGCAGGTGAACAAGAGCAAGAGTTTGTAATTTCTCCAGTGCTGGCACTCCCAACTGCCAGTTCACCCCATTTGACCCTGGCTGAAGTGCTTGCAGCCACCTGCAGCCCTTCCTCCCATCCTGCATAACGGTGGAGTGTTTGGCACAGCTCTTTCTGCAGAAGAGCCTGATGCCCACCTCCTCCTCCCTGTACTGCCTGGGCAGTGAGAACAGTGGATCCAGTTGCAAACCAGAACGACTGTCACAGACCGCGCCCCGGCAATCCCTAATGGGATAGCCCTTGGGCTCTGTGGGGCACTGACGGCACTGGGGAGTTGGCACATGCCAATCCCGAAGCACTGCTACCTCATTTTATAGGATTATTATAGCTATTGAAGCACCATGCTGCTGCCAAGTCTGGCCTTCCTTTGGACCTTGCACTGGGAAATCTTCAGAAGACCCAGATCCCTCGGTACCAGCAGTGACGCTCTTTGCGCTTGGCATTGTGTGCTGGAGCCACAATATGGAGTGTGGTCTTAAATCATCTGCTCTTGCCACACCCCTTTTAGGCTCCCAGCTGGGTGGTGGTTGAGTCAAATGCTGCTGCATCAGTTCACGTGCTGAAACTTTCTGTATGTCTAATGATGTATGTCTGTGATGATTCAAGTGAGCTCCCCAAAACCTAGGAGGCACCAACAGAGTATCTAGGTATGGGCTCACACACCACATTCTACCCTCAGTTGATCATTACAGTTGGTTTGACTCCACGGCATTCAATATAGCAATGCATCATCTGGATATCAACTAACAGGGCAGCTTCGGGGTCTGTTCTCCAACACAGACCGCGAAGTTTCGCACTCTCTTCTCATCAGGCAGGTGCTAAAAGTAGATTCTATCAAGTCCAAGGGTTGAGTCTCAAACTTAGACCTGGCCAGCAACTGCTCTCAGCCTCAGGGTGGTTTTCCAGATGGGGCCCTCTCGAGTGAAGCCACCTGGGTCACTCAGCTGGTAGACTCATCTGAATAGACACCCGGGAAAACAGCTTTTTCCTGAGCGTGCCAGACACGTTACGTTTGTGCACAGTAGTGAGACTGAAATTTGCAGGAGTAAATGCCACTGAGTCAGCCTCATGACAGGTGATTGTTTGAGGAGAAGAGAAAGAGAAATTACCTTTGCACCTTGGCAGCTCTGTCCAGGTCCCGTTCTGACACACAACGGCGGAAGCCCCACTCATCTGGAAACCTCGCCAGCACTGATAGCGAGCACTCTCCCCAGGAAGGTACCTTGACTTTTTAACACCTTGAACTTTACCACCAGCAATTTCTGGAGGAGGTTCACACGTCACATCTGAAAAGAGACACTGCTGCAGTGATGGTTGCAGGTCACAAAGAAAAGAGAAGTAGAAAAGGTAGTGTCTTTAGAGTATTTCTGTAAACAAACAGTCCCCGCTGTGTTAACAGGCAAGATGAAAGCCCAGATTCCTACCTCTGCAGGTTGGTGCTTGTGACCATTCTCCATTTGAACAAGTGACATAATTTCCACCCATCATCTGAAAATTCCTTTCACATGTGTAGTGCACTCTGGCACCGGGCAGATACCTCTCCTGTTGAGTGCTTGCAATATAAGCATTGGGAATTTCAGGCGCAGCTCCACAGCTAACATCTGAAAAGAGGAGTGCGTTCAAGAACAGTAGTGCAGCAATACAGCAATCACAGAATATTACATTGCAGAGCACCGTTGTCCCCGATGAGCAAAAACGGTTTGTGTAATGCAGATCATTTTCTACAGGTAGAACAGGAAGGTCTTACGGTCTTTATTCTGCAACGCTTCACCGGTCAATATTAGTTTTGCCTCTTTCCTATTCAAAGGCACCTTTCAGAAACTGACATTCTTAGGGATGTGAAAACAAGAGACGTAACCCTACCAGTTATCTCCTCCTTTGCAGACATCATCGGTTCCTCTCTCTGCTTGATTTCAACAGTGAGCTAACTTTCAGCTACCAGCTTCAGTCCATGGGAAAAAGATTTCTTTGCTCATCTACCCTTCTTGTTTTTCCTCAAGAGCCAGAAAAATAGATGTTGTAGCAACCTCTTCCAAGCAAGACACCTGTTGGCTCTATGGGCCTGACTCACCTGTGTGCCTGAGTTAACATTACTTCAATTCACAGCATGAAAGTTTAAGAAGGATCACAGACTACTTGGAAGTAGAACTTATACCATCGCAGAAGGGCGGTGCCGTCCAATTTCCTTCTCTGCAGATAATTTCGGGGGGACCAACAATCAGGAACCCTGCATCACACTGGTAGCGAATTGTTTCACCAGGCTCATAGGTTTTCTTGTTTCTGCCTTCAATCTGGGCGTTGGCAACTTTGGGAACACTTCCACAGGGCATTTCTGAAAAGATACGGAAACTTGATGCTTGTGTTAACGTGATACATATAGAACGAGCGTACTGTTTCCACCAAAGAGACGCTTTAGAGAGCTTTATCTAACATCAGCACAGTCATCTGCTGACAATGGATTTCATATAAAAGGTAGCATACGGAAGATTAAAGAAGTCATTCCCCTAAATAGGCATGGACTTCAGTCAGGGAAATATTTAGAACCTGTTTCCAACCATGCCAGAAAATTTTAAGAAAGGCTTCTGTCCCTTCCTACACAGAAGTGGTCTCCCTGACTGAAGCACCAAAACAAGTCCTAGTCATCCTGACTCAGCCAGTCCACTGACTCTGTAGAGGAAAGATCCTTGGATTACGAGGACGTGCCCAGGACTCACCTGGCAGACATATGAACCGAGCAAAGATTGCAAGAATACAAAGGAATATTTTAAAATCTAAACTGTGTTCAAAAAGTCAGTCTTGCGTCCAACTAGGATTGCTCTGAAGACATCCACCAGGGATAAGATTCCACATCAAAATACAGAGTTACTGGCTCTTACTGATCAACCTCCAGTCTAAAATTCTTCCAATTTCATTGCTAAATGCGCTTCAAAAAAAGTATTTTTTGACATTACCCAAGCATGTAGGAGCTGAAGTCCAGTTTCCCATAGAACAGGTTATTTCTGGTGGTCCTTCTAATGCGTATCCAGAATGACAAACATACTTAAGTTTAGCACCAGCTAGATAAATTGTTTTTCCTTCTCTTTCAATTTTTAAGTTTTGAT